CGCATCGTGCTAGTTAGGAAGCTTGTAACACTAGTTAGAGGGAGGCGTATGCGCTGAGTGCAGTGTGGACGCAGCCCCCAAAATCTCCCGGATACCAGTCTAATACCCCAACCGGTCAGCCGAGGTCTGGTGCGGCGTGTACCTGCGCCTAGACGAATCTCAACAAATTCCTTGGATGTGGCATTTTTATGGGCGTGCAATGACCGAATAACGTGTACCGAACCCTCACCTAGCCCCTATGTTCGTTTAACATACCTTCTGTGTCATCCATGACAGGATACCCGTCAGTCATTCATTTTATTACCACTATTATTGAGAAGAAGAATAAGAAGACTCGATTGCTGTGACAATAAGTTTATTCGCCTGACATTTCGACCTCCATCGCGGATTCGTCATCAGAGACATGAGTAGGATATAATAGCAGTTTGTTTCACCTCTCATAGTCTTACCTTGACTCACAGATCTGCTGTTATATCGGTGAAGACGTACGCTTGCTAATTTTTTGCTTTTTTTGTTTGCGTGAAAATTATTTCAGAGCCTGGAAATTACTTTCCTGTGCGAACCTTCGCTGTTGTAGACACATCAACCACAAGGCAAATGAAGCTGCGCCCATGGACCGTTCAAAAGAGTCGAACACATTGCGGCACTCTAGGTGGCTAAAGAGCTGAACGACTCTACCTGCATAACCTCTATATAGTCAGTGGATATCCAAGCAATTTTATCAAGCAAAGCAGGCACTGGGGGGGTAAGTTACCCGCTCTAACTTATAGGATCCAACAATACTGATATAGAAAGCTGATTGCCAAAGCATATTTTCTAAGAAATCAATGTAGAATGAACCATTGTGCTAAATTGATAGGTCTTGTCTGCTTTGAATAATTCCTTTGGCTCAAGTGTGAAAAACGAGCAACTTTAATATACATAACATACCTACTAGCATCTTATAAGTAAGCCTTTTGTTTACAGCCATCGGTTGATTTAATTATCTTCTAGGTCCATGTGCAATTGAGACTACATTGGCTCATTTACGTAATGGAGCCACATCAAACAAAGGCGGCACCAGTTAAAACATTCATACCTTGAGAAAAAAGAAGCACATGAAATCAACTCAAAAGATGCCGCTGGAAAAACAGGCT